TGCAGCTCCACTGTCAGGGAGTGGAACGGCCTCGGAAGACGTAGACCCCCCGGCTTCTCCCTCGCCGGCCTCACCCTCTTGCTTGAGCCAGGACGGGGCGCGGGGGTGCTGGGACAAGTCTCCACTCACCCGGGAAACGCCACCACGTTCCGACTACATGCCGTCCTGAGCTGGGCACAATTCATTAGGACCGTGTCCTCTCTGTCCTCCCCGAGCTTGTGATTCAAGAGGGGACAGGTTGTCATGGAGGAGGCGGGGTCCCGGCGAGGAGGGCAGGGCCTGAGAACTGCCACTGGGAAGCCCACTGGGAATTGAAGACAGACCGGGGAGAGGCCAGCTGAGGGGTCCTGAGAGCAAAAGGTGTTAACGAGTGGGGGTGCGCTGGGGGTGAGGCCCCGGCACCTAGTGTGGGGGACCCAGAGCAGGGAGAGGGCCCTGCGGCAGGGAGACAGAGGCCGGGCCTCCAAGCCTGGGACAAGAGTGAGTTTGAGGCCGACAGGGAGCCATGGCGGCGCCAGGCAGAGGGGTAACTGCTCAGACGTGTGTTCTGAAAGCGCTCTCCCACGTCTGCATGGACGCTGGCTCAGAGGTGCTGGAGGCAGGCAGACTGGGCGGGAGGCCATCGGAAGTGGCCAGGAGAGAGAGGCCGGCCCGCCCTCCTCCTGAGACCACAGCCCAGCAGAGAGCGGGAGAATTAGGCCGTGAGCTCACTGGGGCCTGGTGAGTGGGAGGAGGGAGAGGACCTAGCCAACTAGCCGGCCTGGTGGCCTGGTTCCTCTCCCGGGCGCCTGATGCCGGCTGGTGTCACCGCCTGTCAGAGAGGGCGGTGCTGCTGGCATGTGCCCGTGGGTTGGCCAGCAGGGAGGGGCGGGGGGGTCTGCACAGGCCTGAAATGTGCTCAGGTGACACCTGAAGTGGGGGCCTGGGAGGGCAGGAGGGAGCAGGGAAGGAGGAGAGATGAGAGGGGAAACCAGGGGCAGGTGTTTTCCCCGCAGAGGAGGGGGAGCTCGTGAGGCCATGGAAGCACAGCTGGGGCTGGGAAGAAGGCAGGGGTGGCCGGAGAAGGGGGCGCTGATTAGGGTCCCAAAGGACTCCAGGAGACCCAGACCCCTGGCTCCTGGCTGTGACTGGACACTGACCTAGAAATGGTCCCTCTGCGGTCTCCCTGGTGGCTCTCCCTACACGCGGGCAGCTGGGGGGGGGGGGTGCAGCTGGTGAGTTGCAGGTGCCCAAGGTCCGGGTTTCCAGGCTTGGGGCTCAGAGAGCCCTGGGAAGGGCCCCCGAATGGGAGGGCCGGGAGGGTGGCTGTAGAGAGGAAAGATAAAGGGGAAAGGGAAGCAACTGGGCGTTTGTGCAGAACTAGGTTTCTGTGCCCTAAAATATCAGTTTGCAAACAGAAAAATGTATTTTCTAAAATAGACAAAGCACTACAGATAATTCACAAAAGAAGACACCAACTGGTAGCAAACATACGGGAAGCTGTTCAGGCTCATTCATATTCAGGGAAATGCAAATCCAGCTAACATCACTTGTTTTCTATTTCTGCTAGAAAATTAGCAGAGCTAAGAAGCCCTGGAGCTCACCCAGCCAGCAGGGACGCAGCCCGTCGCCGCAGGCACCCTGAGCCGTGGCTCTGCCTCTCCCCGCCTGAGTTTCAAATCTGTAAAGCGGTGGCTGCGAAGGGGTGATAGAGCCCCTCAGATTTTGTGAGATTCGGGTTCGTGGTAGCTGCTGGCCTTGTGTGGATTTGTTCAAATCTGGTTTTCTCCGTCTGGTGACCTCTTGCCCAGACCTGGACACTTGAAGACAGTAGCCCAGCAGGACCCCCTGGGGGACCCCAGGGAGGAAGGCCACCCCTACTAGAGGGAAGGCCCCCTCCCCTCACAGGCCACCTCTCCCAGCTGGGGCCAGAGGAGCTGGGAGGGGCTGCAGGAGGGCCTGGCCCTTGAAAGAGGCCTGAGTCCTAGTCTCCTCTGCAGGGACTAGCTGCTTGGTGTTGGGCAAGTCTCCGCACCTCTCGGTCTCGGTCTCGGTGTCCTCCCTGCAGAGTGGCAGGTGGGGAGAGGATTAGGGTGATCAGGTGCACACACCCAGCCCAGTCAGCTCCCCAGACGACTGATGAACCCATGAAAGAGCCCCTTTCCTCAGCTTTCAGCAGGGTAGATCATTTGTGCACCGGACTCCCAGTGCCCAGAGAAGGAAAAGTGGGTGTTCTAGAAATGCTGAGGTGTGGCCGAAGGACAGCTCATTCTTTGGATGGCTGGCTTACTTAGCAGTGGGAGAACAGAGCTGGGGAAACACTTAATATGCAAACAGGGGCCCAGCGCTTAGCACAGTGCCTGGCACAGTGCCTGGCACAGAGGAAGCGTCTCATGAACATATTAAGAATCTGCAACATAGTCAATAATAAGCAGCACTAAGAAATCGTAAGAGGAACGTGATGGGTGGAACACTGGGAGCAAGATAAGGGCCCAGGAGGAAGAGAAGCCCAAAGGAGGACAGGAAGGCCAGCGCTGGTCTCCCCCACTGTCGCCAGCTCCTGGCTGTTCTGCACCATGGGCATGAAAGGCAACCTCAGCTGTGACTTGAGGTTATTTAAAAACGACTCACCTAAATGTGGTCACAACGCAGGTGGGGAAACTGAGGCTGGGAGCCAGGCACGCCCCACCTGGGGTCAGCAGCGGGTGCTCTCAGCACAGAGCCTTGCTCAGGAGGCCTACTGCCATTACTGAGCACCCACTGTTGGGCCAGGCACCCACTGTGGCCAGGGTCTCCCAGGGACAGTCTCGGTGCTATTTGGAGTTTTGAACCCTGGGGCAGGTAAACACGGGACCGGCATGGCCAGTAAGTTTCTTCTGGAGTGTGCTGGCAAAGGGTGGCTCCCTCTCTAGAAACTGCTGATGAGGCCCCTCCCTGTGTGCAGGAGGTGGGTCTCCTACAGATGAGGTCACTGGTTTTGTGTCACTCACCTGGAGAAAAAGCAGGTTTCCCCGAAGGAGTGTCCGGGGACTCTGGAGTTTTTATCCTTGCTTTTATTGATCTTCTTTTATTAATTGTGCCAAGAACTTACAAGACTGCTCACCTAATCCCACGTGGTCACAACGCAGGTGGGGAAACTGAGGCTGGGAGCCAGGCGCGCCCCACCTGGGGTCAGCAGCGGTGTGCTCTCAGCACGGAGCCTTGCTCAGGACGCTGTAAGTAAACCTAGTTTACAAAAAGAGAGTGAGGCTGGGGGAAGTCAGGCCACTCGGCCTGTGAGGTGGAGGCCAGGATTTGGGTCACAGGCTGTTCTGAGAACCCCTGCTTACGATTAAACGAAAGAAGGTAGAACTTTTTATTACAATGAAAACTGCAGATGACAGAGAATTTCTATATGCTCTTTCCCTAGCTTGGCCAATTTATAAGTTCTTTAAAATTTTCCTTCAAGCCCCCTATTAGTCTGTTCGATCTGTCTGTCACATCTGGCATCTACTCCTCTAGCTGCGTCTTTCTTCCTCCCTCTCTTTATCTGTCTATCTAGCCATTAGTTCTGAACTAAATTGCTCACAGATGCCCCTTTTATTCCTAAATGCTCCAGTGTGTTCCCTCAAATCAAGGTGATTGTCTTACACAGGACAATGCTTAACATCAGGAAATGCACACTGGTCCCACACTATTGTCTAGGCTGCAGCCCTTATTTGGATCTTGTCCATTAAGAATGTCCTCCAAAGCTAAAGAGAACCCTGGCTCACACTGTCTGAGTCTCCTCAGGCTCCTCCGGCCTGGAACAGTGCCCAGCCTGCCTTTGTAGATCACGATCACGTCATGTTTGCAAACGTACAGCCCAGTTATTTCGGTCGGCCAGCTCTTGCCCGCAGCCGGGCCCATCATGCGAATCCTGCAGGAAGGGCACAAGGCAATGCCATGGCTGCTCACGGCCTCTCCGCGGCTCCCTGTGCCAGCTGGCCCGTTGCTGGTGTACGGGCCGTCATGGCACTGTGAAGCAGGTCTGGGCTAGCTACCGCTTTCCATCCGGAGATGCTCTGGAAATATGTTCTTCATCAAAACTGTGTGTGTGTCTCCTGATTCTTGCCAGACACCATTATTATTACTATGGTGTTTTCTGATTCAATTATTCCTGATACCAGAGAAAACTTTGCCCACTTGTCTCAGTGTAGACTCACTGGGTTCTAATCCCTCATTCCCACTATTTAGTTTTTGGGTTTTTTTTTTTTTTTTTTTTTGCTGGCTGAAATGGAGGGTCCCCAATCTGTTCAGGGGCAAACAGTTTGCCCGTCTGAAAGGGTCTGGTCATCAAAGCAGTGACGGAGCTGTGGCGTGCACAGGGATCTTTCATCAGCGAGAATAAAGCCTGGCGGGGTAGAGGGGCACCCGGCCTCCAGTAAGTTGATGGTGACCGAGCAGGTGGCAGGACACGCGGGCAGACGCTGGACAGCGCTGGAGGGAGGGCCAGCCTGGCGCCATGTGTCGGAGGGAGAAGGCCTAGGTCTGCGCTTCGACATCTGCAGCTGGGGGAGAGGCAAGGGGCCCCGGCACGCGGAGGGGGTCGAGAGAGGGTTGAAGATCTGGAGGGGTGTTTGTGGTCCCCGACGAGCAGCGACGGACGGCGAGGGTCGGAGCAGGCGGTAGGACCGAATCTGCACTTCGAAAAAGCTGTTCACCCTGGAAATACAAATCCGGGGCTCATCGGCATAGAGATGGTGTTTGAAACCACGGGACGGGGTGAGATCATCTAGACCGAGGGTGTAGGTCGAAAGGAGAAGGGGCAGGGACCGTGGACTGTAAAACGACACTAATGACACTCCACCCACGGGGCCCTCTCGAGGTGTCATGCGGACGCATCCAGCCCGGGCTCTGACCGGGATTGAGTCCCGGGGGCGGGGCCGGGCCGGAGGGGCGGGGCCGGGCGGACCCCGGAGGGGCGGGGCCGGGGCCCGGAGGCCGCTCTCGAGCCGAGGGGCGGCCGGGGAGGTGACGTCACCGCATGACTGGGTTTTTATGAATGAAAGGAATCCTGTGAGTGAGTAATTCCGGGAAGCTCGCCTTACAACTCCGCGCTGCCCCCCGCGCCGCCAGCCCCACAACAAAACTCGGCGCGGCGCTCCCGGGAGCCCGGCTCCGAGCGATCGGCGGTCGGCACCAGAGGGGAGACAGACCGGGCGCGGCGGGGACAGCAGCCCGGGCGAGAGCGGGACCCGCGCGTGCCAGGAGCGCCAGGCCAGGCGGGCCGA